CAGTTGACCATAGATAGATGGGTTGATCTCTGGATTCTCAATTCGATTCCATTGATCTATGTGTCTGTCATTGTACCACTACGGCAGTGTAGTAGCATTTGAAATCAGGGAGTGAGATACCTCCTACTGTTCTTCTGTTCTTAAGGAGTGCTTTGCTTATTCGGGGCTTTTTTCCCATTTTTTTTTTAAATAAAAAACCGCGATGTGTTATGAATTACGTGTGCTCTCCTAAAATCAAAAGAACTTGATAAAATCATTGCTTTCCCAGCCGCAGTTACAGAGCGGAAATGTAGCCTTCTAGAGGCAGATCCTAAGTTACTATCAGAGCTGGGCTTGGAGCCCTTGAGTCTGACCTATGAGTTTCTGTGCTCTATCACTACTTTTCGTTGGTGCCATGCTAACTCTCTCGGTTCTGGTGCTGCTAAAAATACAAGTATTTCCTGTTGTGGAGAAAAGGTATAGAGTAGGGCACCAAAGCGGTAAAAAACTTGTTTTAGATTTTATAACACTGTATGATTTTACTGTTGTTTTGTTCTTGTTGATGTATAAAATTGAAAACTTTAAACAAATAAAAGGAAAACTTTTTATATACATGGCCAATTATTTCCCGAGTTTTATTTCTCCCTTATAAGTCACAAATTGCAAGAGTATAACTTAAAGCATGACATTTGTGAAGTTTGTTAGTGTGCATTTCCTGTTTTTAATTTTCACATCGGTGAATGACTTTCTAATGTTTGAAAAAGTATTTACTCAGCGAGCTCTGGTGGTCTATAGTGGCAAGAATCTGCACTTCATTTCCAGAGGTGAGCGGTTCGAATTCAGCAGATGCTTCTGCTTGAGAAAGCAGGTCAATCTCCTCCTGTACCAAAGGTAATTTGACGGTACACGCAAAAATGGAGAGAGAGAGGACGGACAGAAGGAAGGAAGGAAGGAATTACTCGGTCAGGTTTTTTCTAAAACTGGCACCAAGTTCAGTACTCTTGTGTAACATAAGTCTCAGCATATGCACAGGTCCCTGTTGTTAAGGTGATGTCAAGAGACTTGAGGGCAAGAAAAGCTTTCAGGGTAGAAACTGGGCCTGCACGGGCTTGAGTCTATTGTACTCATTCATGGCGTGTGTGGTCACTTTGCAGGTTTCAAGTGAGGCACATAGAGTTATCTGGTGGTGGGCTGGGTCGCCTGTATGGTGGCCTGGGTTGCGTGGTGTGCCTTGTGGTCACATGCTATGCAGGAAGCCACCTGTGCTGTGGGTGTGGCGTGCCTTGGGTCGCTTGGCGTGATCGAGATCACCTGTGCGGTGGGCGGGATCGCATGGCGTGCCTTATGATGGGTCACGTGGCATCCGCATGGGGTCACGTGGCTTACGCGAGGTTGCCTTTGTGGTGGGCGGGGCGTACGCTGTGTCTCAGGGCATGCGCAGTTGACACTTCCCGTCACATCTGCAGTGTTGCATATGCAATGTGTTATGCATGTCTAGGTGTCCCACTGTGTGTGTGTGCAGTCGCATTATGTCCTGTGTCAAAGAAGTTCATAGAAACGTCAATAGAAACAGAGGCTGAAAATGTTACCTTTTTGCCCTTCTGCAAACTTGTGCCACACATTTTCTGATGTGCTGCTTCTTCCTTTATTCCATTTTGCCTTTTCTTTATATTCTGTTTCCTTTGTTGTCTTACAAAAATATTGTGTTTGTTTCCTAGGTGCTTCTCTAGACTTTTCTAGTGTTATATGCATGGTATATTTTCCAAAAATCTAAAAAGGCAGTAGATTTCAAACATACCTGGCCTCTTGAATTTTAATATTAAATATGTGTGGTTGCTGGGTTTGGTGAAGTAAAGAGGTGGTGTTCTGGTGTGTTGACTAGCATAGTTCGTCCACTAGGAGGTTTTCAGAACCAGTATAGGAGGAGATTGCCCATCTTTCTTCAGCCACGCTGCTGGTGGATTCAAACGTTGGGAATAAGCTCAGTTAAATGTGAATTGCAGTTAGACGACTCAGTTTTTGTGCATAGATAATGTCATGTATTTGTTTTGTAAGTATTTTCATAGATATGTCCCATATTCATTATGTATCTATGAGGTACTATTTAAACTCAGTGCTCAGTATTCACCACTTTTTTCCCAGGGAGTGGCTAGTGGATTTTAAACACTGACTTTTCATTTAGCAACCCAGTGTTATACACTATTCCACTAGGGCTGTCCTCATTTTTATAGGTGCGAAAAATAAGTCCCAGCAGGGCAAATTGGCAGAAAAATATAGCAGTAGCCCCCAGGACTGATCATTCCTTGAGAAACCAAATAACATCTAAGGTGACAGGAACAGAAACCAAAGCAAACAGAAACCAGACCAAAGACCAAACCACACAACAGATCCTCATAAGGCTCTGGGCTTAGTTAGAAAAGGCCAAAATAAAGTTGTTTAACAGCCCCACATTCCAAGCAAAATACCACCTTCCCTATTCTCTCCTAGAACTACCCTATAAAAAAAGAGGTCACCCTAGAACACCCTTCTGTCATTTTTGCTTTCTCTGCTCCTGTTCACTTGGCGTCCCTCTCAGACCATGAAATAAAAGCCTGTTCATTTCTTGGGATAAGTTTCTTTCTTTATCTTTCCCTCAAGTCTTTTTCTACCTAACACAAATAAATTGCTTAATGTTACACAACTACTATTTGATGAGAATTTGCATTTCACCCCAGATACATAAAATTAGAATCTACATTTCAAAAATCCCCATAAAGTCACAAGATTGCGAAGATTCACATAAGAATATACTACTGCAGTGCTCTGTAAACAAGATTTTGTGGAACTGTAGAACTGGAAAGAAAAGGTTTAAATCCCTGTTTTAACCCTAAAAGCTCAGGCTGGTAGGTGGACGGTGCCTCCACCTTGCAGGAATTGGCATAGCAGTTTACTTTATGCAGAGATCTTTCCTTTATCAAAACAGAGCTCTATGGTGTTCTCTTTGGAGCTACATGGAGTTAAAGGTGTTTTAGTGTCCTGACATCCTCAGTTGTTTTAGATTTGAGTTCACAGTCCTCGGGTAGAAAGTGTAGTCCTGTGTTCAGTTGTGACTTGTGGAGGCTGAAGTAAGCGTTTTCTCACTCACCAAATTTGGTGTGATTTATTCTCCCATTTTGTCCCAAGGCAGAGGTCACAGCTGATCTTGCAGTTTTTCTTAATACATGCAAGAATCTGAAGGAGTTAGAGAAGACTCGTTTGAGGATTGAGAGCTGGTGGCAAGTGGAAGTGTGGGAAGTAGGCTAGAAAGCAATATACTGAATAAAAATGAGCCTTAGCACTCCTCAATATCTACCACAGGCTCCCCTTGTACTCTTCTCCTGTGGCCTTAGAAAACCAACAAAAACAATAATGAACACCAAACTTCCTCACTCATTCTGAATGTAATACTTTTCATCTAGGGAAGTTATTTTAGAGAGTCATTTGAGGGGAATCGTAAAAGCCAAGGTTGGGGAAATGGTTGATATGAAAGAACAGTATACAACATTCAATGTTTGTTATTAATCCTGTAATTTTCTTTTTAAATAGCTGCTGCCATCTTAAGTAAAGTGAATCTGTCTGTGGATCCCTGTGATAATTTCTTCCGGTTCTCTTGTGATGGTTGGATAAACAGTAATCCAATTCCTGAAGACATGCCAAGCTATGGGGTTTATCCTTGGCTGAGACATAATGTTGACCTCAAGTTGAAGGGTAAGTTTCTCCTGGATTTGATGATGAAATCTACAGAGGGCAATATTTGACAAGAAAATATATCCTGGTGTTTGATGCAGGAATGCTCATTCTCTAACTACAGTAAATTAATTTCTGAGAATGTTTTAAATGGACGACTTAAAGGAAAGATTGTGAACTGCCAGAGTCCCAGATCTCTCTATTCATGGGTAGGTCAGTAGGCTTGCATTTGATAGTAAATTCTAGTGCTTAATGAAGGATAAATAGCTTGTCTGAGGGTAGGAGCCAAAGGATGATTAATAAATATCAGCATTCTTTTTTGTGCTAGGCAGAGTGACCTTGATTATGTTTTGGATTTCCATGGCTTATAAACTATACTTAGCACCTCATTGTCTTTTAAGAACTCTACATGACCTTATGGTTGTCAGATTGCTCCTGTTCGTCTCTAACTTGGCTCTGGGGAGGCTCGTTTCTCTGATGACCTCTCTACCAATGACATGCTCATCTTTGTATATGATCATATTCACACTCCCACCCTCACAATCATTCATGGATAAATACTATTGAAGGGTATGAAAAAGAGAAGGTTTTAAATAGAGCCATGAGAGTTCTACAGTCAGGGAATGAAGTAGTTAAAATGAAGAAATTTTTTTTGTTGTTAGGTGCTGTTGAGTCAATTATGACTCATAGGGACCCTGTGAACAACAGATCTGAACCCTGTCCTATCCTTCACCATCCTCACTATTTCTGACACTTGAGACCATTACTGCAGTCACTGTGTTAATCCACCTGGTAGAGGACCTTCCTCTCTTTCCCCCTACTCCATCTTTCCCTAGCCTCTTTTAGCAACATGTCTGAATTATATGTGAGATGAAGTTTTATTATCTTTGCCTCTAAGGAGTAGTCGGGCTGCTCTTTCTCTTAAGACACACCTGTTTTTTTGTTTTGTTCTGTTATCCTTAACCTTTGTCTAGCTCTCAACAACATAGAAAAAATAGACCATACCCTGAATACGGAGTACCTTAGTCCTCAAATTGACTTCATGCTGCTCAATGATTTGGAGAGGTCCCTGACTTTCCCAGTGCAATGTATCACCTGAATGCTGTTACCAAGTGCATTTATTGTGGATCCAACTTGATCTCTTTCTGTATGGACACACGTACACATTTGTAGATACAGAGAATGAGAAAATTATATACAGTGAAACCATTGTTTTCCCATGTGTCACAAAGTTTTCTGCTGTTAACCGAGTGTAGTTTTATGGCTTTTATTTATTTTTTAATAGCTCTTAGTTAATGAAAAATACCTGAGGTGGTGGGTTTTTTTTCCCTCTGGAAAGTTTAGGCAGGTTCTGTCTTTGACATTAAGTATGTAAAACTAAACACCAAAACCTATGGACATAAAGTTGGTTCCAAGTGGTCACAAGTCTTAAAGACATTCTAGGATTTAAATCACAAAAGGAGGTAGACTGATGATTTTTCTCCTATGGAGTATGATGAATAACCCTAACCCTAACCCTAACCCTGATCTTTTAATTAGCAGTCTGGCATATTTAAACTATGCTACCAGATTTCTGTTATTAATATACCAATAAAAGTACAGACATAGGTGTGTTTTGTGAAATCTTTGTGATTATACTTTCAAAAAACATTTAAATTGTGAGTTCTGAGTTTTCTTTCATTCCTTGTTTCACCTTCTCCTCCCTTGCCCTTTCCACTTTGTAATGTACCTTATCATGCCCAATCATACACTACCTTTAGGCAGTCCTTAACCCTATCAGTTCCAATACAGTATTCAATATAGATTTTCACTTTTCCTATTCTCTTCCCTATATGCCATTTCAATGCTGTTTTATAACAGGGGTATTATGCAGTATTTGTCCCTTTGTTACTAATATATTTCAATGAGAATAATGTCTTCTAGGCTACCCAGGTTGTGTAGTGTTTTATGGGTTCATTACTTTTCATTGTTGCTTAATATTCCATTATGTGAATAAACCACCATTTTTTCCTTTCCATTTGTTGAGGGGCTGCTTCCATCTTTTTGCTATTGTGAATAATATAGTAATAAACTTCGGAGTGGCATTGCTGGGTCTAATGGTATTTCTATTTCCAAGTTTTTGAGAAAACATTATACTGCCTTCCATAGTGGTTGCACCATTTTATACTCCTACCAGTCATGAAGGGTTCCAATGTTTCCACTCACTAACATTTGTTATTTTATGCTCATTATTGCATTTTGATGTTGTTAATGGGGTAAGATGTTGCTTTGATTTAGTTGTTTTCGTTTGCATCTCTGTGATAGCTGCAGATTTATAACATTTCTTCATGTGTTTGTGTTTGTTGGCTGTCCAAATGTCTTCTTCTGTGTAAAGTTTTTCCATTTCTTGCAATTTACTAATTGATTTATCAGTCTTTTTCTTGTCAATGCCCTTGGGATTCTGTAGATTTACATTATGAAACCCTTATTTGAGGTGGCATTGCCAAATTTTTTATTTCCCCAGTTAGTAGGTTCTCTTTTTACCCTATTGGAAAAAGTTTTCAGTGCATACAGGGCCTTATTCTTTAGGATGTCCCATTCATTAATATGGTTGTATGTGTATTTCTTCCTGTATTTGTCAGCCTTTTTACACTATATGCTGTTTCTCCCAAGTTTGGTTCCATCTTGAGTTAATCGAAAGAACCCAAATAACTTTATTTGATATACAATACAATATGGTGGCATGAACAGAATAATCGGAAAGACAGAGGAGGAAAGATTGGCCTATTTTATTGGTAATTAAAGAATAAGAGAACAAGTCACTACATGATTTACAAAACAGTTACATTTCATGGAGATTTCACATTTTCTAGTGTCCATACTTTTGGAATTCCTACTCTTTGTTGCCCAGTGGAGACACTTGTTGTGTTTTTGGCCAGTGAGAGATGCAGTGGAATGGAAAAGCATGATTACAGACTCCCCTCACAATGGTACCGTCTTCCCACGTTGCAGCCATCTCATTAGCTTGACATTCTATGTAAAGATCCATGATGTGGTTCCTGCAGAATGCACACGTATGAACCACAGCATTCCATTCCCACAGGGCTACTGCATTCCACTTTTTCGCTTCAAAAATCACTAGTGCCTGTGTGCTGCTGTGTGTCATCGTTGCTGCCATTTTGAAAACACATGGTCCCTGACTGAGGTGTCTTTTTGATGTACATAGGATTTTGATCCTTAGAATGTTCCAGTTATCCAGTGGTGAGAATCTTTGTCTTCTTGACATTGAGCCCCAGTCCATACTGAAGGCTGCAGTCCTTGACCCTTCGCAGCAAGTGCATGAGGTCCTCCTCAGTTTCAGCTAGCAGTTGGCTTTTACTGGCTCCAAGTATTAAATTTGAAGATGGGACATCTTCTCCTGGAGGCTTAACACAGTTCTTCTGTTAGTAGTAGTTAATATCACAAATTTATTGGGTGATCTTGAAAAAATTCATCAGTCCATTTTATGTGTTGTGTGAAAGAGCTCATTTGTTGTCAAGCTTGTTTCTTGGAATTGTAAGGTGAATTTGAAGAAATGGAGGACTGCAGGAGACTGTGAGAGCCATGAATAACATTCCAAGGAGAAATCTGAGTAAATACAGCTTGGCTTTGTTGGAAGGAGAGCATGAGCAAAGCTTTTTGTGAGAGATGACATGGGGTGAGATGGGCAGATGAAGGATGTCGAAATCCATTTGTGGGAATGTTGATATGTGGCAAGGAATGCTGAGATTTCTATGAAGTGAAGAAACATCCCAAAAAAGCTAAGCCTAGAAGTATTGTATGAATAGAACGAATGTACACGCAGATAAGGGGGCATTTTAATAATGTAAATATTGCAACCTATTATGAAAGGTTTCCTGAGAGTTAGCTTGAATGCTGTAGGAGGAATAAAACATTTTTACTTTTAGAAGCCTGTCAAATAAGTATAGGTTCTTTGTACTAAATATAAATTTACTAGCACAAGTAATGATACAGGATATGTGCAGTTTGAGAAAGACATAGATATTTACAGTGACACCGCTCAACCTGCTTATACCCACAGCCCACTTTCCGTAGATCATGTCTATTGGTGTATTTTACTTTGCAGTTATTTAGGAGGGTCACAGATTTTTTTAAAAACCACTTCCTTTCAGAGAATGACTGCTGGGAAAGGAAAGATAATTTTGGTGGGAACAATTTGGAGTCATACCCACGTGAGCTTCATGGGAATAATTCTTGAAGCTACTCCTAGTACCCAGCTACTTCTATTACTGCTGTCAGAAACCAGAATGATAATCAAAATGGGAATATAGGTCTCTCCTCACAACATGTCTAAAGTATGTTAGACGGAGTCTCAGAATCCTTGCCTCCAAGGCGCCACCCGGTTTATTAATTTTTTTTTTCTATTTTGCTCTGCTATCTTATTCTGCTAACCCTAACCCTAACCCTAACCCAGACATTCCTCTAGGTCGTATAGCCCTGGTGTACAAGTTGCCATACCGTGATCACTTGTCGTTGCTGTGAGGCTGAACACCATGACACTGATGTGTCAAATGCGTTAATGGTTGGCTACCCAATGCGGACAGAGAGTGGGGTGGAGCTCCCCGATTAAAACAAGCTTGGAAAGAGGAGTGGCATCCACTTCCATAATAGCTTGCCTCCGGAAACTCTGGGAACCTGGAGAGAGGATGAAAGGCACCCAGGCGTCTAGGACTCTACTTCATAGGATCGCTATGAGTCGCCTGCCACTCGATGGCAGTTAACAACAACTCCAACCCTCCACGGCACTTAACAACCACAACAACAACAGTAGTTAGTCATTGCAATAATTTAAGAGATTTCCCTCCTATAAACATACTTATCTGGTTATACCTCAGTAAAAGTAATATAATGTGTATTGCTGTTTTTGTTGTTATGTGCCATTGGAAATTATCCAACAATATCATTGATAGGACCTACAAGATTCAGCTGATGAGTATCCAAAAATGACTGAAACAGTACATCCACAGACAACTGCCTGAAAT